GGGGGCGAAGCAGATTTTTTGCGGGGGCGAAGCAGAACGGGGCGGGGGCGAAGCAGAACGGCGGGGGCGAAGAGGAAGGAGTTTCATGGGGGTGACACTGAAGTCAATGATATATGGAAGTACATTTAGGAATGTTCTTAAAGTAAAACAGCTATAGACTGGGGTTGAGGCTTAGCCTGCTCACAAATTTGTTTCTTGTACTTTGAGGGCTCAACAAAGAAAACACTTCAGATGAATGAGTTGAACAAAAGCCTTTCTGTATACGTCCCATTATGATGTTGACTTTTGGTTTAACTTTCCGGGTCTGCAAAGGCCTTTGCTTGCTGGCGCACTCTCTTCTCATACTCAGCTCGGTTTTGGCTGCAAAACAAACCATAAATGTTGATGATATCTCATCAATTTGCAACATAAAGAAGATTCCTTTTATCATATACTGAAAAAAAAAACAGATGCAAATTTTTCATCAGTTGGAAGCAGATGTTGAGACAATTGTTGACAGCTTATTATATTTCACACCATGCCACTTGTTAATGGTAAGCACTACATGGGGGTTTTGAGAACACTTTTTATGGAAAAGTACTAAATGGGGGCTTTGAGAATAGTTTTTACTGAAAAGAACTACATTGGGGTTTTCTTTCTACAACTGTTACTAAGAAACACAGTATGGGGTATTGGGCACTACATGGCGGTATTGAAACATTTGATACTGGAGAGCACTACATTCCTGGTAAAATAAATAAATGAAACATGGAAAAAGTTGATGTGGAACAGTCCATTTAGGAATTGAGAAAGATGGAGTGAAATATGCTGTATTTGCTACATATCCATGAACACACATCTAAAACAACTCGATTTCTGTAGCTCACCAGTACAAGGAGTATGCTTCTGCCTGTGCGGGGTCTTTGATGTTCGGTGTATTCAAAAGTTCCTGGATTCCTAGTAAGATCTGTGAAAGACAAACATCAAAACTAAATGGTAGTCTATAATAAGGTAAGTATTAGCAGGAACTGCTCGCTAGTTATTTACTTTACATGTCAACTAAGTCATTTCTTGTAGAAGAATGAGGACTGAGTAACAATGTTATATCCGAGATATACCTTTCATTTGTACCTGATTCTTGTAATTGAATTTAATTCAAAGTTCCAATGTAATTTTAGGGAAGCCAAACAAGAAAAAGTCTGGATGAGGAAATCTGTCTGATATTGACATTTATTGCCATTTCCTGACACATTTTTGTCATTATTTCATTTTTTAAACAGCCCTAGTACAAGCTACATGAGAGGTGTGGTTGGGGGAGTAAAGACTGCTCCCAAACTTCAGCCAGCCTTGGTTGGCTGGTGGTCAGGGGAAGGTTCTGAATGTGTGACAGAAAGAGAGTACCTGTTTGATGGTAACGGCCGGTCTCCAGTCTTTGTCCTCATCGAGTAGTGATAGGCACACTGTGCCAGACGGGTACACGTTGGGGTGAAACAGGGGTGGTTCAAACTTGCCTGCAACAACAACAATAGATTTTAATGATTTTCACATCTCTGTGCTACAGTATTTGCCAAGGTTTCTGGTCATTGTTCATTGTCCACAGCTTGAAATACTGGGTGCATGTGCACCTTAGTGCGCCCAAACATTTTTGTAGGTTTATGTATGTCAAGATGTTAATGTATAGTAGTATACAGCATATTTCTAACATTCTAAGTGTCAAAAAAAAAAAATCATTCTTGTACTACTTTTCTTTATAAATGAAACATAATTAGTTTTTGGAGACATTTTCATTATTCTATTCTATAATATGGTGCACCCAAAACACTTTTTGTGCACCCAATCTTTTAGGTTGGGTGCATCAGCGTACATATTCCCAAACATGAATTTCGAGTCCTATTGTCGCTACTGGGGAATCAAGTATTCAGACTCTATAAACCAACAGAACAATCTTGATAACAATGGTGGTAACACTGAACTTGTAACTCACATTTTGGTGGCGAGGAGGGATAGTCATCCTTAAACAGCATACGCAGCTTATACAGACCCTGCTCCCATGGTGTCTAACATAGAAACATCAGGAACAGAATTAACTGCAAGATCACTGAACATGGAGCAATCACACTCATGACTCAATTCATCCCCAGAATGCATAGCAAAAACAGGGTCTTTTCAGTGTGTTTTGAGGTGTTGGGGCATTTTATGCTCAGCATTAATCAAATTACTATGGGTCAAATCTGACAACAAATAGAGAATGAAGTTTTGTGTTCTTTTCAACATGTGGTTTGTAACGTTACAGCATCAGTATAGTGTTACCACTATAAGTATAATGTTTAACAAACCACCTATTCCAAAAAATTCATTCTCTATTTGTTGTCAGATTCAACCCATAGTAATTTAGTTAACGTTGAGCATGAAATACCCCAACACCTCAAAACACACTGAAAAGCAAGCTGTTCCATGTCAACAGGATCATTCCCATGCCTTCCTGTCCTATGCAAATTTGGTTTAGACCCCTGTTTTCGCAATGCATTCTGGGGATGGGAAACTGGTGAATTCAACTGCCAAGGCACAGCTCAAAACAAGAACCTTTAGACATCAACAGTCCTGATCCCAAAGCAATGTACATCTACTACATAACGTTAAGTATGCCTAATGGCTCCCAACTGTTCAAAGGTGTGCACCTCAATTTAAGCCGCTATCACAAAGCTGAATATGGCCTCCTGAACACTGCTGAACTCACCTAACCATGGTTAGGAGAAGGGCAGGAACAAGGTCGGTTACTTGTTCAGGGCTGGAAATACTGGGTGCATGTGCATCTTAGCGCACCCAAAATTGGAGTTGTGCACCTAATATTTTTCTGTGGGTGCACTGGTGCACCCAATTTTTTTGTAGAAATTTTTAACATAAGAAATGTACAATAGTATACCAAATATTCTTGGTCTCTAAGTATCAGAGAAATAATAAAATCTTTGTTGTAGTACTTGTTTTTGAAGATTTTGAAGTAAGCTCTCATTTCAGATTTAAGCTCAGAAGAGGAGCAGTAAGACCTGCAATTAGGTTTCGTTTCATATGGTGCACCCCAAAAATTTTTTTGTGAACCTAATTTGTTAGGTTGGGTGCACCAGTGCACCTGTGCAGTGATAGATGTCATTCAATTAAAAACACTAACTACATGTACATGTACTTACCCCCTTTTTCCCAGGGATTGCACACTCCCAGTTCATCAGGTTCAGGGTACCATCAGCATTTTTGGTTGGCTTGGCCACAAAGCCCTGGAGAAATCATAAGCATACTTTAAAGTTTAATTGGATATCCTGTCACCATCAAAACATTCTATATCAACAAGTTCTTTATCCCTACACAAGAATCATGAATAACACAATCAAGCCCAGAAACTGTATCTGAAAAATGGAATACTGGTACATATATATTATGTAAAATGCCCAATCCAGAACACAATTACAGGGCACACCCCAGTTTATTCATGGGCCTAAATCTAATCATTCAGAGGTGGCTCATCAAGACCTACCAAAATATAAAGTTTTTGAGTCATTGTGTTTAGACACACAGACACACACAGAGACAGACAGACAGACACACACACAGAGGCACAGAGAGAGAGACACACACACACATACACACACAGACACACTCATAGTGAGTCATACACACACACACACACACACACACACAGAGACAGACACACACACACATACAGAGAGAGAGAGAGACAGACAGACACACACACATACACACATATACTCACACACACACACACACAGAGACAGACACACACACACATACACATACACAGAGAGAGAGAGAGAGAGACAGACAGACACACACACACACATACACAGAGAGAGAGAGACACACACACACACGACACATGCTACCAAAAATACAGCCTTCCTGACAAAGGTAACAATACCTTCTCATGGATGAGTGCCTGTGGTCACATTTGCTGTTGGTTCAGTGGATTCAGAACATTAACTTATTCAAAGTTTCCTGTGGCATGCCCCAACACACTTTTTTTCAATTTGCTCGTGCAGCAGCCATTTTATGATGATAACAACAAATAACAGTACAGACGCAGTAAAACATCATCACAAAGAAAAACAGCTGCACTAAAGTTGGAACTTACAAAGGGGTGGTCCTTCCTCCAGGCTTTTCTCTCCTCTGACAAACGTCCTAATGCTATTCCAGACATTCCTGAAAAATATCAACATTTAGGCTGATACTAGTATATGTGTGCTTATGTTACATCATACATGTGGAATTTTTTTTTTTGCCTACAATGTCATCAACAATAGAAAAGGGGCAAAGCAGAAGGTAAGGCCATGTTGATTTGATTATATGGATGACATCCTCCGGGAGCCCCAAAACTGATGCGCGCGTGCGAATAAAAGAAAAAGTTTTGCAAAAAAAAAGTTCTTTTCATAATGAAATCTACGTGGTCATGAGGGTTGAGCAAATGGCACAGAATATGGTTTGGCGAATAATCTAGTCTTCAAGTTCATTTCTTTACAATTTCGTCTTTTTTTCGTTTGATTTTGGCATTCTGCGACATTGGTATGGTTTTTGTTAATTTTTGTTGTAACTTATGGTATATTTTTGCTCATTTTGCAACTGTTTTGTACAATTTACAGTATGGTTGAAAACTTTTTTTTTTTTGGAAACGGCTGAAAATTCATGCGCGCGTGGATGTCATCCATATAATCAAATCAACATGGCCTAACAGAAATATTTTGTTACAAATTAAGTTGGAACGCTGATGAGCAAAGTTGGAATGTATTTCTGAAACTTGCCTGAGTGCAAGGACTAAACCTACATGTATTACTGAGTGATGTAACATCCCCTTTGTGGCAAAATTATAGAACATGGTTATTTTCAAGCCATTTTCTGTAATTTTGCCACGAAGTGGATGCTAGGTTTACTCTGGCAGCCTTACGGAAACAAGATGGCTGCCTGATCGGTGGGAAGACAGTAGACAGACAGACAGACAGTTCAGTGTTCTCGCCAGGCCTTTTGAGCATAGGGGCCCCTATGCTGTGATTTGGACCCCCTATGTTGTGATGTGGACCCCCTATGCTGTCTTTCAAGTAGCATAGGGGTGTTTTTTTTTGGGGGGGGGGAACATTCATAAATCTTGCAAAAAATGAAAATATAACTTTAGAATGAAGCTATAGCAAAGGGAAAACTTTGACGTTACAAAATCTGTCCCCCAATAAGTGAGCAATAGTGTCTCGGGGGGTTATGAGTTTCAAAATTTATAGGCTCTATTTGCGACTTGTGCCGCGAAAGTTGCCCTTCTGTACCTGTCCCCTATGCACCAGAAGTACAGATTCAGCAGAGCTGGTCATGTTGTGAAGTATTTAAGGGGATATGAACATCCCACCCTTGCCAACTGTCAGGTAAAATAATTTGCAGGGAAGCCTGGGACACTCAGAAACCAGGACAAAACAGATCATCTCGCAGCCAACGGGAAATGTTGTTCAGTCAACGGTCCTTACCACGACACTTGTGTGGGATATATATACATGTAAGATTACCATATTACATGCCCAATTCAAAAGTCACCATGGCTAGATGCAAATGGCCGATAAATTGTTCTTTGACATTTGATGTTGTTCTATAACCATTCATATAACCAAATTAAAAGGCTGCAATTTAAAAAAGCCTTTACATAGCAAATTTATAATATCTGTTGACCCAATCTCGCACCCAATAAAATGATACCGTGTCAAATAATTGTGTATGACTATGAGAGAGTAAAAATTTGGCAGGACCAACCACGTTGTTTTGTTCTCACTACAACTCACGACTAGAGTAGAGTACGCATCACGATGTTCCCGTACCGGGCACAAAAACAGACTATGTTATTGTTGTTGATGTCCCGTCTATTGTCTCACAACTGCGTACGTGATCCAATCCGGCACAGCATGGCCGAGGCCGAACCGGAATGTGCAAATGATTCCGGATCCGGCACAATTTGGCGCGGGGGAAGCACACACTCGCAGATCGCGGTCCAAACAGACCACCTTCGTGCCGTGCCTTGACGACACCTACATGATAAGACGTCATTTTTCGGTGCTTCTAGAACATTTTCGCAGACGTTTTGGCCAAACATTGGAGAGAAAAGGCAGATTATTTCAAACTTACCGGGTTTCGAGTGCGCGCTTTCTCCACCACGGAGAGAAAATGGCCGTCGACCTCCAAATCTCGCACAACTCTGACCCAACTCTCGCGAGCTTTCAGCTTCAGAACAGTCCACTTATTATGAATGGGAAAAATCCTCAAATTGTTAATTTTTGTTGAAAACCTTAATTTATAGCCTTCAAAAAATATTATAAAACAAAACATTTGGATGTTTATACTACTTAGTGAGTTTTGTTGATCTTATGCATAAAATAATGCCTATTACATTCGTAAAAAGAAATACATATTATTTCTATCTTCCCTTTTTTAGAGATAGATTCACCCATCATGGCAGAAGATGGTCAAGATTTTCGTGGTTTCGTTCAGGAGTTTATAGACTCAGAATTCGGACATATAAAATCCCTTCATAACGTTGAAAGTATATTACGAAAGGTTGAGGAGGATAAGAAGGGCTTGGAAGACCAGGTAAGGATATCACATTCGTCAGATAAAAAATCCCCCCAGGGAATAGTGTAAAGGTCCATACAGCTTGCCATCCATTCCTGACACTTCTTTAGGCCATTTAAATTAATACTACAGTATCTTAGCCTCCTTCGCAGACTTGTTGGGTGACGGCGTTATTTTTTTCTGTGAGCGACGTGAGTAATATGCCACCGCGAGGGACGATTTGCTGCCGAGGGAGTTTTTGTCGTGGAGGGAAGGATTCGCGCTCCAACAACGTAACCCTAATTTAGGGTTAGCTAAATTTATCCTAATTTAACGGGAGGGGTCCTAATTCTGACCCATGTTCCATGCAAATGCACATACCTTTGGTAATAGTTTGTCTGACCAAAAACCCGCGCAACATAAGCTTTAATATTGACAGATAAAAATAACAACTATTAAAGCTGCACAGCTGTGTATTTCACGTCAGGGCAGCGCCTTGCACCCAAGCATAATGGTTCGCGAAGGTTTTTGGCAGGTTTTTGGTCATTTTGCCGGTGGAACGTTCTATCGCAAAAGGGGTGCCCTAATTCCGACCTACCCGAAACACAAGTGATCGTGTGGAGAGAGTTAAGTATTTAAAATACACAAATTGTTACTTATATAATCTACAACTGTTTTTCTGTCCCAAACAAGTCCTGTTTTTACGATTACGTGACTTGCTCCAAAGCAGCTGTTTGAAAAGCAAAACCTGCATTTCTGACACGCTCGTCAACTCCCGAACAAGCGTCGAATTTAAACAGATTTTTCACTCGTCTGTTGTCGGAGTATACGAATTAAAACAAAGTTTGTAAGATAACCGATATCAACACAAAAACTTTGTCCATTCTTACATGGTTATTTTTAGGCACGTGCTCCCATGCATAACGCCGCAACAAGGATTTTTCAAACTAGTGCGGAATTAGGGGTAGGTCGGAATTAGGGCACCCCCCGTTAGGGTTACGTTGTTGTAGCGCAAATTAGCTATCCCTAATTTGAAGCCTAACCCTAGCCCTAATGAGAAGGAGGCTAACAGTATCTACTATCTTTAATACCAACGTAGCATCAGCTTGGGTTGGAGATTTACAAATGTAATACCACTGTGGCACAGGCATTCAACGAGGCTGGATGTGTGTTAGCTGTAATGTGTTAGGCAGATGCCATTAAGAACACTGAAAGAAGGCCTCATAAAAGTACTTTCACACATCTCAAAAATTCTTCTGCTCCAGAGATCCACAAGGGTTGGTTTCCCAAATATATCAAGAAAGCAGGGAGTTCTTCATTTCATGTACAATATAGCTAGCCACTCTGGGCAGGCAAGACCTCACCACTCAACCTTGGGTCTCTCATTATCACAAAGCATTTAGTGGGAAAGTTAAGACCCTACCTGTGCCTTCTAGCCCAGTTATACATTGAACATTTTAGAACAATCAAAGACGTTTGGTCCAGCCATGGAGGTAGAATTCAATTCTACCTCCATGGTCCAGCGAAACAGTAGCCAACCTCACTGAACACCAGCCAACCACAGCCAACCTTGCTCCTGACCTGCTCCTAACCATGGCTGGGGGAGTTCAGTATTACTCGGCTATATGTGACAGGCTTTACCCTACACTAGTAGATAGTTGGATTGTAACAGTGGGGCACTACCAACTGACCCAGCCGACGGGTCTAGCCATTTTAGCCGAATCGGTAGGAGCGTTGGGTTTGATTGAAGCTGGTGCTCGGGTTTAGTCGTGAGTTCAAAGTTCAAACCCCGGCCCGAGACCAGGAGTTTCTTTCTGTTTCTACTTTCTACTGCTCGCCTCTGTTTCTTACAGTGGTTCCCACACTGGGCATCGAACCTGGGCCTTGGCGGTAAGAGTGCCAAATCCTACTGAATTAGGAGAGTAGAAACAGAAAGACACTCGGGCCGGGGTTCGAACCCACAGCAAACCCAAGCACCAGCTTCAAACCCGACACTCCTACCTATTCCACTAAAAGGTTTAGAACCCTCGGCTGGGACAGTTGGTAGCGCCTATAAACCCCCACTGTTACAGGATTGACAACGTCAGGTTTTACATAAGAGTTATATGATTTATTTCTCCTACCAGCTTTCTACAGTCTCAAGTGAAGTACCAAAGAAGATAGAAGGAGCCGTCCAAGATGCCAAGAACTCTGTACATCACATCAAGGACATCACTCAACAACAGACTCAGATCACTGATGACATCACACGTCACCTGACTCAAACACAACCAATCAAAGAAGACCTTGCTCAGTTTACGACTCAAGTGGAAGAAGCAGAGAGATATGTACAGTACATCAGATGGTTGACTTTCTTTGAAGAAACAAGGTACATTATAATAATAAGGGTCTAATTTGCATAATTAATGGGTAACAATTACAATTCATCAAAGGTATGAGATCTTAGAACTCTTGTTTGAGTTTTTCCAGTTTACGTTTCAGACCAGCAGATTTGTCTGCAAACAGCTCCAAATTGGAGGTTCCTACTTTAGTCAGGATGCATACTTTATGATATGAATTGAGAATTTACTTGTCAAACTTTATGAATTGAAGAGTTCCAAATGTCTTTTTTTTTCTACAGTAATGATATCCAGCAGTCAGTGCTGGTAAACTCCCTTGGAGGGGCCGTCAACTTCTTTGCGGAAATGTTTGATATCTGCGAGGTCCTGCAGAAGTCCAGATGTGAGAAGCTGGTCCAGTTTTCCAACTCAACAATCCTCTTCTGGCACAGGATTCTCAAGGATAAACTGTCCAGGTCAGGCTGGTTACACAAGTTTTATGTTAGACTAACTTACATCTCACTCAAATCTTACCACCTGAAAGTAGGATCATGCTAACAACTTTATGTACATTTGAATTAATGCAATAAAGAAATTGAAAATGTACCCCACAGAGCATTACAGGCATACATACATGTAAACAAAATGTATCTATATGTGTGCATCAGGATGTGTGTAACAGTGGGATTCAAGCACCACAAACTGGCCAGTGTAACTGGTACAGACCTTTTAGCCATGCATTTAGTGCGTTGGGTCGGGCCTGTGATCGGGCTGGTACCTCAGGTACTCTCATCTGCCGAATAAACATACCCCCCGGAATAAACGTACATCCCGGACAAATCTTCAAAATCATATAAACATACCCCCGGAATAAACGTACCCCCCGGAAAATTACCAAAATTGACGGGTAACCTGTGTCTCTTGTACTAAAATGCGCCCTTACTGATATATGCACAAATCTTTAACTGTTATTTGCAATTAGGAATTGAAATAGACAAAAAAAAGGGGGCATTTAATATTTCGTATTTTGATAAGCACCACCCATGACAATAGAACATTCAGACGAATTTATGCACGCGGTGATTGCAAAAACCGGCCCGAAAATGACAAGTTTCTCGCTACAATATGCGTTTTTATAAACGTCTTCACGTCGATGATTTGTCAATTTTTTTCACAGGAAGTTGAAAAAAATTACTGGTTTTCAAAAAATTAATAAACGTACTGTGCAAAATAAGAACGTACTGGGTGGATGTTAGGGCCAAAAAAAATAAACGTACCCGTATGTTTATTCGGCAGATGAGAGTAAGGCCACACCAATTTAATTTTATGGATGACATCCTCTGAAGACCCCCAAACTAGTGCACGCGGGCGAATAAAAAAAAATTCCGGCCAAAAATGCTAAAAATGATACTGAACCACCGGAATACAAAGCAGGTATTGTGAATCCTTGGCAATACATAGCAACAAAAACGACAAGCCGGTACATATGCTGGCTTTTTGCGGAATTTATGAATCGGCATTATACGTTGATACTGAGTTCTTGAGTCATGGAGCTTCGTAGCCTGGGTGCCGTCTTCCAGAATTACCATCGGCTCCATATTGTCGCTAACCACTATGGACTGACTACCAAGGCCTAGAGCCAGGCCAGAGCCTCGGAGGACGTGATCTTTTTTTTTTTTTTTTGGAGAACAGACGAAAATTAATGCGCGCGCGGATGTCATCCATAAAATTAAGTCGGTGTGGCCTAATACAGAATACACAGTGTAGTATTGTATGTTAATGTTGTTGTGATGTTGTTATTTGTTCCCAGTGAGTTTGAGGAGGTTGTGAAACAGCTGGGCTGGCCGTTCCTGGGCGTGGCGACCCACATACCACCCCGCGTACCACGCCCAACACACCTGGAACTCACCTTCAGACTGGAGACACTGTTCGAACAGCTGCTGAAGATACAGATTCCGTATCCTTTCTTCTTCTGACACTGACAAGGTCATTATCTAAAGACAATATATATTCTAACTCTAGTTACAGATATTCAGGCCTCAAAATTAACTTTTCTTCCTATTGTCCCAAAGTGAGGATGTCCCAACCTGTTTTTCGGCAAGTATTGTGTGACGTCAACTTGAAGTCAACTTTATTTTGCTTACGTTCTGACTGCCAGGCACACTATAATTGCAGAGTGGACAGGAAATTAGGGGGGGCCGGGACTGATAAACAAAAGAAGGGCTGACATTCTGATGTTGATTTTTTAAATAATTGTTCCAAAAGTGTCCCAAAGTGTCTTGTTAGTTAACCCATTCTAAATTTTAGTGGTAAGTGGCCATCGGACCACCTTTGATTTCGAGCCCTGATATTACATTGTACTTCCAGACATTTCAAGTGAGATCCACCACTCTTCTTCAGCGTCACTAAAGAACAAACAGAACTGGTCAACATTTACATATTATTCATCACACACACTATACCACTTATCACAGTAATTCATCCAGTAGTAGGGTTTGAATTGTCTTTGTTAACCAGGATGTTTTGTTCAAGTTAGTTCTATTCATCAGTTATTTACGTGTTATCAGTAGTTATTATTTTGTTACTTTACTCAAAATACTGTTGATTTAATTAATATGTATTGTAAATTTAATATGTTATATTATTAGTTCCTTGTTTGCTTGTTTTCGTTTAGCTGTGGGGAAGGCCTCGGAGATCCAGACTTTTAAGTGTGAATTTGCAGAAAGTATTTCCCAATTGCAGAACAAAATTTTGACATTCTGCAACATTGAAAAAAGTATTTCTACAACTGACTCTACTTTGTAGACAACAATTTTCAGCCTTCTAAGCTTTTCACACAGTAGTGATAGAAGTTTTTGCAAAATATACCTGGTTGCCCAGTTGCCCAGTTGCCCCGGACAACCAAATTTTACTTGGGGCAACCTATTTTTGAACTTAGGTACATGTAGCCCAGTGTGCTACCTGAATTTTAAGAATCGCCCCCCCCCCCCAAATAATGCCCACTTGGCTTGCACCACTGTATCCGGCAGATGTTTTTTAATTTTAGGTATTAATGGCTATTACTAGTATCAGTTAACTAAAGGCTGTTAGAAATATTGTCAAAGGCTAAAATAATGTAAAAATGTATGCAACATTACTTAATTTGAGGAAAGTAGGTGGAGCAACCTAAAATTCTGATAGGCAACCTAATTTTTGCTGTAGGTTACCCACTGGGCAACCTGGTTCAAAAAAGTATTTTGTACACTGGCAGTGATATTTCCTTGATGCACCAACTGAAGTGACACCCTAGGTAAGAGACGGTCCTCCCAGCCCAGTCCTGGTAGTGATGAGGCAGACCGACCGTTCCTCCTGCCCCTACAGCTGCTGCTCAAACCTCTCAGGAAACGCTTCAAGTTTCACTTCACTGGGAGTAAACAGACTAACGCTCTGGATAAGGTGAGTCTTCAGGATGTAGATTCAGGGCTCGAAATTCATTTTTGGGAATAGGTGCACTGGTGCACCCAACCTAAAAAATTTGGTGCACAAAATTTTCTGTGGGTGCACCATATAAGATAAAGTAAGTAGAAAAGTAAAAAACTAATTATGTTTTGTTACTAAAGAAAAGTACTACAAAGTACTACAAGAATGATTTTACTATTTTCTGACACTTAGATGTTAAGAATATGCTGAATATTAGTACTACTCTAAATTTAACATCTTGACATATATGTAAACCTACCAAAAACATTTGGGTGCACTAAGGTGCACCCAGTATTTCAAGCCCTGAGATTGTATAGCGAAGACAGAAATGAACTGTACAGGTTTGTACAAAACCTATTTCCCTAAGTACATGTAAGCACTGTAAAAAATTGATATTCCTAATGCAGCTAGACAAACCTTCGTTCTCTATCAAAAAACATATCTGTTCTTTTATCTCTACTGTAACTGAAAAGTAAGGAGAAGTTGAATTTATGTTATGATACATGTAGTAACTGTTGATACATGTGGGAAATTCTGGATGTGTGCACTGTACCTGCTCGGATGATGGCCTCCCAATAGTGCTTCAAAGTTGACAGTGTGAAGCCTATTGGTTGTGGTGTTTGTGGAATTTACAACATGTAAACACCACAACATTCATCCATATTTTGTAATCTGTGTTTAATGATTCTCACTACTACAGGTGCACTATACATCTATACTATGACATTTATTATTAAGAAGACATCCTATTTGTTGTATAGCCGGAGTGGTACCTTACCCAGATCCTGGGCTGGATCAGAGATCACACAGACTTCCTGGATCACCACATCCAGCCGCTCCTCAACAGAGCCGGGTACCCGCATGTGGAGGCAAAGGTCAGGACAAGTCACTACATACTACAATCATAGTCTGTACATAGCATGAAAGTTCATCTTACCAACATGTACAGCTATGGTACTGTAGCACACTGGGGAGATTGTCAGTTTGCTACTGTCTGTGCCTTTGGCCTTTTCTGCTCAGCTCATAAATATTCCTTTGTTTGTTTTGTTTGTTTCACAACCGGTAAATGGCCTTACACACCAGTTTTGTACATGTAAGCGCAAGCTTTGTAAGACCAGACTGTAAGGTTTGAACCATTCACACTGGGAAGGACCCCTACTCTTTTCGAAAGGTGTGGTGGGATCTTTAACGTTCGTGGGGCGTGGCTCTCCCCAAACACGGGACCTCCATTTAACATCTTATCTGAGGGATGTCACTAACTGAAGCTAGAGACTCATTTCTACCTATTAGTAAGTAAAGTGAGGAAAGTTGGGTAAAGTGCCTTTCCCAAGGGCACAAGACCGAAAGATTCGAATCCAGGTGACTTCTTGGTACCCAGCCCACTGTTTATGCCACACAACCCCACTTTGACAAGATTTATATTTGTTGCTCATGAGGCACACGTTACTTCATTGTAATTACATGTACATGTATGTTTCTTGATGTTTCAAAAAGAGAGAAGAAAGGCCAACTAACAGTAGATGATAGGTAGTATATAGTATTGTTGTAACATGTAGACTCCTAGCACTTAGCATTAGAATATATGAATAGAATATATTAGAATATATACCAGTATGCAATACCGGTACTCATGTTTTTTATCCTCTCGACCACATTTGGTCACATTTGTGCATTTAGTCCATCTGGGCAAGAACATGCATACATATATCATAAAGATTCATATCATTGTGAGTCACACTAAATCCCTGCCTGCCCCCTGGTGTTTCCAGCTGGAGTTTACCCGAGGTCTGCTGATGCTGGTGGCAGACAAGCTGGCACAGGACATGGAGTCCCTGCTGTACGATGAACATCTCTTCTCTCACACTGTAGATGAGGTGGGATTATTTTCTAACAATTTGACTCCGTGTAGAAGAGCAAAAATTCGGAAGGCTGGAATGGAATATCTATCATGTACTTATCTTTAACCTTCTTTGTTTTATCCTGCAATCAAAATGTGTACAAATTGCAAAGGTGGCCCAAAATCTAATTAATCATTTACAAAGACCCACTCACCTACCAAATGCATGTATCAGGAAAGTCCATCTTGACTTACTGTGTTTACAGACAGGTACACACATACAAAAACATATCCCAAGGTAATGAAATGGAGACTTCTTGATCAATAAGGTCTGGCTATAAGATAATGTTACTCTTAAACATTCTCCCTGTTTTAGATCCATACATGTACATACATGTACCTTAGTAGGGAGTTGAATAATGTGTACTTTAATTGTAGGTTCTGCTGTTTGACCGTGAGCTGCGTGGTTCGTACAGCTACCCAGCCAGCCAGCCTGGTGTTCTCCATGTGCTGACTGTACAGGACACCTTCCACAGGTGGATCACTGTGGAGAGGAAATGTGAGGCTTGGCTTAGGCCACAGCAAGTAATTTTATGGATGACATCAGCACACACAGAAATTTTGTTGCGTTCTAACAGTGGTCAACATGCCGAAAACGGGCAAAGATGTCTGTTGCCATGCCGGAAGGTGGATGACAGATAACTATGAAGAGAGGAGACAAGAAAAGGCTCTGATTTCATGTTTTGTTTCTTACTTTGATGCAGTGATATGTGATGTTGGCTGTGTATATGTAATGTTCCTAGTACTGAATGAAAACCATTTGTACAGTGATTGAGTCAAAATTTTAAAATGTAGGAGCATTGTTTTTTTCGGCCCATCTTGTTTTTTTTCGCCCACTCTCATTAGATTCGCAGTCTGCGGAGAATGTCATCCATAAAATTTACTTGCTGTGGCCTTATATACATGGATTCTTGGTGTCTAATGTATTGACGACAGACAAAGTTTTGTCAGAGTTTTGCCACAGATGAAGTTTTGCCACCCCAAAAGGCAAAACTCCCATCACAGCAAAACTCCCTCTGCCATATCCAGCACGTCGGCAGAACATACTGCGCCTGCACAGAACCCTGGATTTTCCCAGTTTTCATTGGATGTTTAGTCCACGTTTGGTCATCAGAATTTTGCCTGTTGCAGACAATATCTTTTCCGACACAACATTTGGAAACTACAGGCGGGATGTTAACCTTATATGCGCAACTATGACCTTATATGATGTGCCGAAGTGCTATGCACAATACATTACGGGTTTCGCGCAGGTGTAGTACGTTCTGCTGACGTGCTGCCGTATCCCATATAAGTAGTCCCCCTCCCCAAATAAAATTAATGCCTATGCTCAACACCTTCCTCAGAGCTTCTGACTGGAGTGCTGCTTCTTGCTGCTATACATGTATGTAGCCAATGTAGGTGGCGCTTTTGTAAGGAAAATCCCAAACGTGGCTAAGCTTGTATCCCCCATGGTTCTGGTTCTTGCTGTAAAAGTGCCACCGACATTGGCTACATACATGTGCAGTAACGAGAAACAGTACTCCAGTCAGAAGCTCTGAAGAAGATGTCTGATAGACATGGAAACATAAGCAAGGAGAGAGAAGCACTGGTTTTAAAAAAAAGAAAATCCCAATATCCTAAGATGTTCTACATGTGTGTATCGACCTGATGAAACTATTTTGTTAAAGGTATCCAATGCAATTTCATGGCAGCAAAAATGGAAATATTCTGAATAAGGCGATCTTTGTCATATTGACACATACTGCTTCACATTGGTACATTTGAGTCAGTATTTCATACCTTGGGCTTTTACAACTGCAGAAACAAGCCCCAAGATGAGTCTTTTATTTTCTGGGGTATCCCAAAAATCAGTCAAGGGCCCTTCCAGTAACCATTTTCCGTCAGAATATTGGGAATTTTTGCTCCAAGAGGGGTCAATACATATTGGGACAGTGTGGTTTCAACTCATGTATATAGATAAACAACTAAAACATTGACTTAAAAAAAATCGGGTTTGCAAGCCCTAAAAACTGAACTGGATGCCATCTGTTCTCCAGTTGCTGTAGAGAAGATGGACCTCCTGTTCTCCTCAGAGACAGCCTGGACGTCTCAGTATGGAGATATTGAGGATGTGGATGACATGAAGACAGGAGAGTGTGCTGAAGGCTTCATGACCCTCATGCTGGCACTCACAGGTAAAAAATGGTCCTTTGACAAGTTGATATGGCCCTTTTCAGGCTGTAGGGACAGCTAATTCCTGTCTCGTAAACGGTCAATGCCAGTTGAAACGGTCGATGCCACATCGCAGAACGGCTAACTTTAAGTGTATCAGCACGGTCCATCCGCATGCACCGTGATGTTTCGTGGCGTAGAGGTTAGGGTTTGGGAGCTACACTTTTGGACCCGGGTTCAAATCCGAGCTTGTGCTTTTTGTTTTTTCACTCATATTTACAATTCTACATGACCCTCCCTTAGATTTGCAATTAGAATAATGCTTTTTATAGTTGTATATATTACTTTTTAGTCGTATTTGGATGCTTGGATATGGCAGTGACCATTCAGTGAAATGGCATCGGCTGTTTACGAGATGGAAAATAGCATAGGGGCAGTGGGTTGTTGGTACACTGTGTCTAGAGCACGGTATTGGAAGGTGGAGCCCATCCCTCTCCTTTCACCGTCTTTTACCTCCCCAACTGAAGTCAGGTATCCATTTTACACCCTGCCGTTACGCCACACGACCCCACTAACATAGATAGGTGGAAATCTAGTACTACATAGAAATTTGGCTAAATCATTTTGCTAATTAAAATCAAAACGCCTGTAGTACCAGAACATGCTGCTAGAGGGACCAAACCCACATCACTTATTTCTAACATAAAAAAGCTATCAGCCACTATAAAATCAAGACCATAGCATGTCCAGGGCAAAACATAGAAAAACTGGAAGTTCTGCTGCAGTACAAAGGTCAGCCACCAGGAGCCCCACATGGGACCTTAACCTTTGTCTTTCCAAGACCCACTCAATATACCAAATGTTATGGGCAGACACCACATTTGTGTTGCGCAGTAGAGGCCTCAAAATGGGAACACGGTTGTAGTGCCAAGTTAATACCTTTGAAAATCCTTTTTTCTCTTGAAAGTTTTGATCCATTTTGGGGATTTTTGGGCTGGAAGGCACAGGTAGGGTCTAAACTTTCCTACATTGGTCAAGTTTTGTTTATTTCACCAGTTTAGTGGGTGGTTATTAGGTCTTGTCTGGCCAGGCGGATGGATACCACGGAAAATCAGGTCAAAGTTGAGGTTTTGTCACTATCATCAGCTGTGGTGGGAATTTGAGCTGGTCAACCCCCTGTTTCCTTTCTATTTTTGGGAATCAGACCCCTGTGCCTACCCGGTGTTGAAAAATTTTTGAGATTGAAGTATGGGCAAGTACTTTCATGAGGTCTTCTAATAGTGATTTTAAGCATTTGTTCCTATGGCCATATCTAATAGTACTGTCTGCCCTCATCACAATTTATAAACACACACAAAAACACCAAAAACAATACAATGTCATGTACCTCCATTTTTCATGTATAAATGTAGTTAATATTTATTTGTATTGTTGATGTGTAGATCGGTACAAGCCGCTTCCCTCTGCTGCCAACAAGCTTGAGTTCCTGGACCTACAGTTGGAGCTCCTGGATGACTTCAGGATCAGGCTCACACAGGTCATGAAGTCAGAGGCACAGGACCCCCTAGGTTCCACCTTCCTCTCCATCCTGAACGCTGTCAACTATGTCATCAGTGTGCTGCGAGAGTGGTCCGAGACAGTGGTGGGTACATGTACATGTAGCATGTCAGCAGAATGTACTGCACCTGCGTGAAACTCTGATTTTCATGTTTTCGTTGGATCAAAGTTTTGCCTGTTGCAGTCTGAAACTCATCTTAAGGAGAAATTTTGACAGTAGAACAAGCTTTAGTTTAATGACATCTTTCCATACCAATTTTTGTCCAGCAGAGATGACAGATTGGGCAAAATTTTTGTCTGTCATGAGTGGCAAAATTCTGTCAAATGACGGAAAGATAGACGCTAGATAGAACACTGCACACAATAAAGTGTGCTTCAACTTGTCAAAACAAACTTTGAGAGCTTAGCAAGACAGCTGACTGCATAAACCAAGGAGTTGTGGAACTTATGATATCTTGTGTTATCATTCTTTCCTAGAACTATCGCAGAGTGGAACTCGCTGTCACCAAGTACAGTTACATGTTTGTAGAAGCATTGTCATTAGATAGCTTTAAACAATGTCTAGAGTTAAATGTTCAAAGGTTAGGTGTAACAAGTCGATCGGTGTAATGTAGCCAGCTGCCGCTGCACTGCGTGCCTGCAAAGCTGGTGTTTTACGCCGAAAGGCAGTTATACAGGCTATACAAATACACTGAACACTGGTCGCATCAATTTTGGAAAGTCACAAGGCATTTGGAAACTCAAGTAAAAATTGATTTTCAACATTCAAGTTTCACATCAGTGTGTAGCTCTTGGTGTAATGAGCACAGTGATATGAAAATTATTGTTCTGCAGTGTTCATAACTTAAGATATCATTAATAATAAATACAAGCAGACCGGTGGTCTTTCCTAACAGCCCGTCAGGCCTAACAACTAGCCCGCAAGTTTTAATTACAGGACCTTCGGTCTAAAGGCACCAGACTACAGGTGTAGAATCCCAGCCCGCGGGCTGATTTACTCAAAAACCATTCAGACCGTCAGCCTAACTTCAGCCCGCGGTCTGGAATTTCTGGTCAAAGAGGTGCAAAAAGCCCAAAACAATGGCATGGAAGGCGTGAATTGATTGATGTTTGCAGACTGTCTGTGCCAATTTCAGCCTGGTGGGGTAAGGATTCAGACCTCACGGACTACATCTCAGCCCGCGGTCTGATCCAAGTGATGTGTAAAACTTCATTCTCAGAGCAGAAAATAAGGAAGGAGAGCATAATCCACACCCATCTGTTAACAGTGTTGTACATTTTTGCCGCTTTCAACCTCATTCACTCACTCAATCACTCAGCTTCGCATGCTCTTTCCACTACATGTAGACCACAAAAAAGAAAGAAGAGCTTACAAACACGTTCTGTACCAGCTAGGGGTAGAAAATGAAACAATTTTTTCTCATGAGCATCCTGAATGTCATTGAAGTTCAGTTCAGTTCAGTTGAAACATTGGGAAAATTATGTTACAGACAGTTTTGCCAGACAAAATTCTAGTACTATATAATATGAGCAAGAAGCCTAATACATGCATTGCAACTTAAACCTGCTTTCAAGCAATGGAGTTATAAAATCCTCAGTCCATTTCTGTTCAACCATGGTTCAACAGTTCTCAGGTAATTATTCTGATCAAGGAACAATTGTTATGCGGGATGAAACTAAGTTTAGCTATTGTTCTTGACATGCAAATGCCACTGTCCAATTATCAAGTTGGACTATTGTTGAGTTACACGTCGAATTACAGTACCCCTATCTGGGCAGCTTGACTACTGGGTCACCCAGTAGGAGCCTGAAAAGATGACCGACTATCTTAAAAAAATAAAACTAGGATTCTCATCATTAATTTCTTGTTCATAATCTAAATCTAATCTAATCATAATACTACAAACTAGTTGAGGGATAGAAAGATTTGGCCAAGACATGGTTCTCAACGTGTGAACCCAGGCCATCTGACACTGTCATTATATACAATGTCATAAGGTTTTCTGATTGGATATTTTTTCGGGCTATTGAGCTACCCAGTGCAAGCTGCAAAGACCATGTCACCCATGTCTGGGTACTAGTAGCCCGACCAGACTCTCTAATTTGATAATTGGACAGGTATGAATGATAACATGCATGGAAATTAATTTTGAAAATTTTAAATTCCAGCAGGAAATTTCTGCAGGAAAAACCTACTAAGACATTGTAGATTCCTGCAGATAGAATCCTTCCTAGAAATTTCGGCAGGAATGACTGTATAATAAATATATACAACTGTTAGGCCACACCAATATACATGTAATGTAGTCTCCACCAGACTCCTTTGCAGGCTAAATAAATAGTAGCAATCGGCTAAGGCATGGAGGTAGCTCCATGGCTAAGGGGAACATCATTGGCCAGAGGAGTTGGCCGGCCATAGAGACTAAATATAATGTCATTACTTGTTTCTCAGACTCATTCACTTGAAGAAGAATCCTGTTCTATAAAATTACAACATTACATCAATATTCTCTCAAGGTCACCTTAGTAATTGATCAATGATCATCTGATTTTTTGTATGTCATGACAATTCATGCAGTCTGATAACTCAATGAATGCTTTTGCTTCGGAAGCAAAAGCATGCCCTTTCTTCAGTTGTAAACACGTCTAACATTGATCAGATTCTGACTGGAGACTAACTTCAAGTTGTTGCTTGGAAGTTAGAACTTGTTAATTTTATCATAATCACCTCCCCTCCCCTTTTGTCACCCATTTTTAAAGAAACTGTGTTCTTTGTGTCTAGGGGATAACAAGCCTTTACATTGTAATTCATAGGCTTATTGAGGGATGTCTATTATCACTCTATGGTGACATTTCCTTGGGCAAATGTTGGCCCTCCAGGAGCCAAGGAGCTAGCCTGGCAGCAGTCTGGTACCCATGTAACAGTGGGGGGGTTATAGGCGCTACAGCTCGCCCCTGTTTCTTACACCCAGGCTACCTGGTCTGCTATCATACATGTACATCCTGCGCTGTACAAGCATTTTACGTTCTGTTCCTAAATTTTTGGGAAATATCCAAACTGAATGAACAGCTCTTTCATTATATATATAACCTATTTGAGATGTTTCACAAATATTGTAACAATTAGAAAATTTTCACTTTTTTTAAATCATACTTTGAAATTATCTAGAAACATTGTGTTTTTTTCCAAATGGTTACAATTTGTAATGTGGAATATAGCAATATAGAATTGACTCTAGGCCTTGGGCAAGCACTTCCAATTAAATTGTAATTTAGACTTATTACAAATCCTGTAAAGATTCTCATCATTAATTTTTTGTTCATAATCTAAATCTAATCTAATCATGACACTACAAACTAGTTGTGGGATAGAAAGATTTGGCCAAGACATGGTTCTCAGCGTGTGAACCCAGGCCATCTGACACTGTCATTACAATGTCATGAGATTTTCTGATAGGATATTTTTTCGGGCTATTGAGCCAGTGCCAGTGCACCCATGTCAGGGTAGCCCGACCAGACTCTCTAATTTGATAATTGGACAGTGGTCATTTGCATGCCTGGAACAATAGGTGACCTGAGGTATGACCCGCATGACAAAGGTGCAGGAACAGAATAATTACAAAAGAAAATGTAACATGAATTTCCTAAAGCATTGTACAACTCCTTGCACTGAAAGCAAGTTCATGTTGCAAATTGAGGATCAATTCCTTGCTTTTTATGTTTTCAGTGTACATCGGCTGAGGCTTATACATGGCAGGATTATGGCACTAAAACTCCAAATGTTTTCCTTTTGATTTAAATGTTTCCATGGAGTTATTGTTTATCTGTTAACCCAAGGACATTATACACAATGTCCTTGGTTAACCCAAGGAGCTTTCATCACATGTGATGAAAGCTCCTTGGTTAACCATGTCCATTCATCTTGTTTTGTTGTGACCTGTACTTAGCCAAGTCTTCATTCTTTAAAAAAAAAGATAAATTTCTACCCCCATGATGTTTCAAAGGGATTTGGCCAGGGGAGTTGACCATCCATAGTAGGACAGATTGGACTATACCTGCCAAACAGAAACTGTAAGTGACCATGAAGTGTCCTCAAAAGTTGGCTTCCAACACCACAACCAATCAGGTCTAATATGAAGTGTTCTTGCTGAGACAAGGGTCTTTTATGATGCTATCTGATCTTTTTTAGTCATAACCGTTATACAAATGTTACACCCCGCCCAGGTATCAGCCCAGGTAGCACAGCAGGAGTAAAATCCACCTCCTCAAACATGTTCAAAAAGCTTTCTACTAGAAAGAGACTTTTTGCAGTCTTAATAGCAGAACAATTCTTCCCATGTACAGGAAAAATTCTTCCAGTAGAAATTTCTGAAGCTTTTGCAGAAAATGTTCAAAATGAATATTCATGAAAGTTATCATCATTCATACCTGTACATCATACTTGTCAATAATATGTAATCACTTATTGAAAATACATGTATTAGCTGAAAATGTGAAGGGTGTTTATTAATATGAAGTGATATGAAGTGAAGTGTAAACCATCATCAATCTGGAAGCATCAATTTGGAAGCATATTTTTGTTTCCCACTTTCTGTTCGGTGTTTAAAGTCTGAAGGTCCTCTATCATAAGGCCTAATCATCAGCCCAGCCTGTCCACAGACCGACAGGCCTGTTCAGGCCCGCGGGCTAACCATTGAGCCCAGACCTCTCATGAATTTATCACAAACTTGTTAATTACACAGGTGTGAAAATGTGAATTCTCATTAATTCAGTGGTTTTCATGGGGTGTTCATGAGGCTAATTGGATGCGGGCTGGCTAACTCAGGCCGCGGGCTAAAGTTTAGGACTGCCAGGCTAAGCTGCTGGGCATGACGGTGTGTGTTCTAGACCGCCAGGCTTGCAATTTTTAAAGTCAAATATCTTGATAAATTTGTACATTCTGACCATAAAAAAAGCAACCTGGTACTGAAGATAGCATGATCTTTCCAATGGCATGCAAAAGATCACCGTACATCCAGGAATAACAAAGTTGAAAATCAGGGGTTTCAACATAGGTGTCTCAAAATTCGGAAAGTGACATTCCAAAATTGAGGTGACCAGTGTTTACAGATTGTGTGTGGGTGGGTGACGGCAAAACAAAGAAGTACAGACGCTAGCTGGCTAGAACCCTGGAAGATGCAGGTATATCTAAAAGACCGTGGATTGATGATGCCCCTGTCCTGTGCCCCAGTTCTTCCTCCAGCTGCAGTACTCCCGTGCAGAGCAGTACCGTGTACGTGCCGGCAGTGACCTCCCCCTGCCCCAGGACCCGGACCTCAGCAGTCTGCAGGGCGCTGTGTTTGATGAACTCATCACCCTGTTCCAGCTCCTCAGGACTGACATGCTGTCTGTGGTGTCTAACCTGGTCTTCACTGAGATGAAGGCGAGAAGTAAAGACTACAAGGACGAGAAGTAGGTCTTCATTGTCTAATAAACCCATTCGACGTTCACGGATCGCATAAACTGCTTACGTCACAGGGGGGACATTTCGAATAGAAACCACGTCACTGGGGGGACATTTCAAATAGAAACTACTTCACAGGGGGGACATTTCGAAAGTTCCTTTCCCGGGACGTATAAACTGCATACATTACAGAACAAAATAACCTGAAATTGTACAGAATGCCACCATACAAAGTTGGTGCCTGTTTTCCTGTCATTTCCGCATAATATTACAGAGAAAATAGATACTTACCTACCTTTTAGTAAAAAAATGATCTGCCAGGGGGGACACCGTGAGCGCAAGCGCGTTCGACTTCCGCGTTCTAGAACGATGTTCTTTCAAAATGTCCCCCCTTGTGACGTAAGCAGTTTATGCGATCCGTGAAAGTTGAATGGGTCTATCGACCAGGACCTGGTACACAGGGCTCTAGCCAGCTTGAATTTTTTTCCATAGCCCAGGTTCATCATTGGATTCGGTGATCCAATCTAGGAGGATTTCAATTTTCAAGCCCTCAAACACCCACTTAATATTTCCCACATTTTGAGAGGCAAATCATGGCATTGAGAATTGTTGTCGGTGGTCCTTTGGATGTTTTCATATTTTTACCCAAGATTTTTGTTAATTTTGTGTGTCAAGGGTGGTTTTCAAAAATTTCCGTCACACGTTCCAGTAATTGAAGGTGGTGCTGGCTAGAGCCTACTGGTACATAATGTATATTACATTTGGCTTGGCTCTGTTTTGTATCTGTTGACCAGTAGAATCAAACTTGTCTAAGGCAACCACCCAGGGGACTGAGAAAAAGTGGTCTTCTTCTACAAGCTTATTTTTTTTGTACCACCAATAATTACCTACTACCATTACCTACTAGGATACAAAATAAGTGTATTCTAACAGTGACATTGCATTTTTGTCTTACAGATATCAATATGGTATGGGATACATTGTAGGGTTGTTTCAACTTACTATGTAATACAGACCAGAAAATTGACTCTGAAAATCCAGAAATCATTTTGACTGCCTTTGATAAAACTTCACTGTCATCTTCAGGGCTCAAAATTAACGGTGTCCAGATGGCCAATGACCACCAAATTTTAGGCAACTAAAAAGACACATTTTTGGGACAACAGAACAGTAATCAACATCAGAATGTCAGTCCTTCATTTGTCCATCAGGCACACGTCCCAGCTCTGGGAAAGCACCCCCCGCCCAAATTTCCTGTCCACTCTGCAATTATAGTGTGCCTGGTAGTCAGAACGTAAGCAAAATAAAGTTGACTTCAGGTTGACGTCATAAAATACTTGATGAAAAACAGGTTTGGACAGTTCATCTTCACTTTAGGACATTGGGACAGTGCTGGTACAATAGGAAGAAAAGTTAATTTCGAGGCCTTGTCTTATCTGACAGATGGCTGGGCCTGCCGTCAGACAAGGAGTACATCTCACGGGCGGTGTCTGCCTCAGCCTGCCCACTGCTGCTGCTGCTGAAGGACAGACTGCACCTGCTGCAGCTGCAGCTGGCACCTTCTCTCTTCTGTCAGGTGTGGCAGAGACTCGCAGACATCATCAACTTGTACATCATGGAGGAGGTAATACTAACCAAACCCTAACACTAGAGAAGTAACATGTGCAAAGCAAATGCATAATGTTACCTTCGGACATGGTCTGCTCTGTTAATTCTTACTCAAACACATTCACATACATGTACTACTAGTATATGGTGACAGGAGCAGAGCAGACCATGAAATTGCAACATTATGTAACCCAACACCAGTCACTATGGTAACAGATGTAAACAAATCATGTCATTGGTCAGGTCAGAGGTCACTGTTTGGAGAAGAAGAAGAAGAAGAAACTGATTAAAAACAATATGTTTTCCTTTTGTAAACATAACAAGAAGCCATAGGTGACAATCCTCCGTGAAGTTTTATATATTTCAATAAAATCCCAAGCGTCAACGCCAGACCTACTGTGCAGACATTATAATTTCACTGTGGGGTCAATATTCATTGTGGGGTCGTCTGGCGTAGCGGCAGAGTGCGCGACTCGGAACTTAGAGTCCCGGGTTCGAGTCCTGACATGCCATCGATCTTGTGCCCTTGGGAAAGGCACTTTACACGACTTTCCTCACTTCGCTCAGGTGTAAATGAGTATTGTCCTGTCATGTATTTGTCCCCTGTGTTGGTGGCGGCATTAATATAAGTTGAAAAAACTTGAGTGTGTCGTCACCACGTCTGGTGATTACATGTTGGAATAAAAAAAAAGACATTATAATTAGGCAACGGTTAATACAATGAGGGCGCGTCACAAGCATAACACATACAAAGAGCTAAATCCATTACTGCTCCCAGGGCGTGTAAAGATACTGTGCTTCAAGTTCGAAGTTCATTTTAATTACACACACACAATCATTGCATTCACATAAAGATCGGACTATCATGGTCGTGTCTAGTAACAAAGACAGCCACACCGTCTTACTGTGCCTGTACCTAATTAAGCGCGCCTGGAACAGGCCAGCAACAGTAAGCACCGCGGTAAGCACCGCGAGTGTTACTGCCGCCGGCCAGATAACCAGGATATCTGCTTACAGAACCTCTGCTACCAGACAACTGCCTAAACCTACGGCCTATTCCACAGGATTGTAAAAGTAGGGATGTTTCTAAAATATGCATTTACTCCAATATCAAAACAGCTACGGTAAAATAAAAAGACGTGCATCATCCCGGACATAATGCAACACCACATGCGAAATTACACAGAAATGCGACGTACGGAAGAATGCGTTTTGGCTGCGAACATCTTCCAAAAAACTTGGCATCTCTTAACCATGGGCAAAAACATCTGGAACCACTTATAAAAACCACCCCGTATCTGCATGAACCTTTTACCCCCCCCCCACTGCTATTCCAAACAACGCGTTTTTCTGGACCATTCCAATTCGCCTCGTAATTGTAGGGGTGCGTCTGCGATATTACATTGACCGCGAAAGCAGCAACGGCAAAAATACACATTCGTGCATCAACACGGGCATGCCCGCAGACGGCGTATAAAATTGCGTGCCGATTACACAAAGAGAACCCAGTGTTTTGACTGCGAACATGAAAAATCAGCCGATTACAACACTCCGTCCGGAGGTCCTGACCTCCTTCACGGAGTAATAATCACTTAATATCTTGGAGGAGGTAATAATCTAACCCTAACATTATCACTTAATATACATCATGGTAAAATCTAACCCTAACATTATCACTTATACATCATGGAGGAGGTAGTAATCTAACCCTAACATTATCACTTATACATCATGGAGGAGGTAATAATCTAACCCTAACATTATCACTTATACATCATGGAGGAGGTACTAGTAATAATCTAACCCTAACATTATCACTTATACATCATGGAGGAGGTAATAATCTAACCCTAACATTATCACTTAATTGATGTTAAAGTCACTGGAGACATCCAGAAATAATCTCCTGGACCATAATTTAACCAGTCATAGAGCTTGAATTATCTTTTTGTTTTAAAAACATTTCAGTAGAGACATTCAATCCAAGTACAGGACCTGGCTGGTAATCTGTGCCTTCTCCCACAGATCATTCTCACCAACCATTTTAACGAGGGAGGAGCAGCCCAGCTCCAGTTTGACATGACCAGAAACCTCTACCCCCTGTTTGGTGAATACACACCCAGGCCAGACAACTACTTCAAAGAGTAAGAACCATATTTTATCCTCCACTGAGGCTACACCAACTTAATTTCTTGGTTAACAGATTCACCCGCTTCATTTTTTTTCTGATTTGCAAAAAAAAAAAAGAAATTCAGAATCAACTGCGAAATGCTCATATTGTGCCCTGAGCATTTGAAAACAGTCCTTTTCTTCCTAGTTGTTACAGTTATTCCATCTTTCAATGCAGTGAATTGGTATCATTAAAACTTCAAAATTCATTATTTAAATTTTGAACCAGCCTGGTGTGTTGACTTCATGGCTCCTATCGTACCATTTTGGGCCATAAGAGGATGCCTAGGCCTGTTTTTACTCTTTATATTTTTTGCCCGCCCGCTCCATTATTTTTCTGGAAAAGTCCGTTAACCAAGAAATTAAGTTGGTGTGGCCTGACCGAGGTAGATCTGGGTGATATCAGAGTACAATGTGTGATGCAGAAGAGACTTGGAAGGAGAAAGTTTTTGTTTGTTCTGCATACCTGGCATGGGTAAACAAACCAACTTTAGGCATAACACACCTGTTTTGTACTGTAGGACTGCAAGGTTTGATTTGCTCTCAGAGGGATGAATCCATGCATTTTTGATGAGTGTGGTGGGTTTTTTAACGTGCTTGAGGTGTTCTCTGCATATGCACCTTATTTACATTGTAGTGAAGGTAAAATTGGAACTGTGCACTACCAGGTATTTCTCATGTCTACCTGCACCTAACCTGTATTGGTCCATGTACTGGGTATACATAAATTATACATGTAGGTGTGTGTGGATTTTTACTTGCTGCATTGTTTTATACTTCCAGTGTCCAGTGCAGGTAATTTTCAAAAGGATGTCAAGCCCTGTTGACTGATGGTGGCAGCCATGTTAATACATGTACATGTAGCTTAGACTTAATGTAGATTTGATGTAGGCTATGAGAAGTTTGGAATATTGCGTAAAGTATACAATTCTCATGTGTCAAGTATACATCATAAAATGTTTTTGTTGTGTAGTATGTCTACCCAATACTGTTTTCTTGCTCCAGTACATAAATGTGACTTTTATACACTGTGTAATGTTTGTACTTCACAGTGTGAAAGAAGCCTGTGTACTTCTGAACCTGAAGCCTGGCTCTGCCATGTTGTTGCAAGAGATGCTGAATAAGGCCTTACACGGATCCAAGATAGACCCAAACACAGAAAAGGAATCACCAGAAAAGGTACTGTGACTGTTATGATCAGGATCATATCATTACGAATTTATTATATAATATTATCATATGATTTTCACAATGACTGACAACAATTTTAGATCACATTAACAGCAATGTTACAAGTAATGCTACATGACCTAAAAGACACAATACAGGCCAAAAAACTCCTTCCTGACAGTAGCCATTGCACCAGTTTGGGACAACTGCTTGGGGTTTTGTATAGTTTTAGGGCCTGCTCACTCCATTTCAACCACAGCTTTTGATGATAGAAGATACCACACCACATTCAGTGATACCACACCACATTCAGTGATACCACACCACATTCAGTGATACCACACCACATTCAGTGATACCACACCACATTCAGTGGTACCACACCACATTCAGTGATACCACACCACATTCAGTGGTACCACACCCCATTCAGTGATACCACACCATATTCAATGATATTACATCACATTCAGTGATATTACACCACATTCAGCATTTTACTGCATTTAGTACCTGAAAATACTACTACCGGTAAGGTAGTAGTATTTTCAGTATTTACCAATTTAATTTGTTGCTTCTCGGATCGCCCTGTCCATTTTAATTTCTAATTTGCAAAAAAAAATATATATATATATTTGTTCTAAATTAACTTCAAAATGCTCAATGAAAGACAAATTTTGGCCCTAACGGTTGAAGAAAGTAATTTCTTCCCAGTTCTTAAAGTTTTTCAATGTAACAATGCAATTTTGTTTCATTGAAAGTTCAAAATCTATTGTTTTATTTATAAACCAGCCTGGTATGTTGACTTCATGGCTCATATTGTAACATTTCCGGCTATCTTGGGGTGCCTTGGCCTTTTTTTTCGCCCTGTCACTTTATATTTTTTCTGAAAAAAATCTGAGGAACAACAAATTAAATTGGTGTGGCCTAATATGCCCCCAAATGATCATGTTTCTTTGGGATAACTAGCCAAGTACCCAAATTCAAACAAATCTGTCTTCCAAATGATCGTGAATCAGTAATGTAACATGTACAATGTAAATGTCACACAAATGCAACCCAGAACCCAGACCCTTCTTCCCATAAACTGATGTCTGCTCTAAATTGGACTGGTACAAGTACATGTACATAGCTCCACTGTCACACCACAGTCCATCCTAGCATCTGTAAGAAACAGTGTTGCCTGTTGGAAAGATGAAATAGTTGTGTGACCTGTAGAGATGTATAATATTATTTACTTAGTAAACCTGTACTAGGGATTTTCTTTTTTCACACAACCGGTAATGTTTCATAGGTTTCTTGCATTTTAGCGTCTACCAGACACCATCCTCAGAGCTTCTGACTGGAGTTTCAATTCATTATTTATTTTACCAGAAAAAAAAAAAACACACTCAAGGCAAAACCAGGTATTTTCAGGAGTTCCTGGGCATGATAACACTAGAATACAAAGTCATGACTCATAATGAATAACAAGAAACGTGAGATTTTAAACCTCCATGTTCATGAAGTATATAACACATGATGATTATGATGATTTATGTAACAACTGCTGAAAATTTCAGATGTTCACATAACAGCACTGTAACTCTATAAGGAAAACATGGCTGATGTCCCAATCATAATAAATTCACAATACAGAATAACCTAGACACACCTTCCTAAATTAATCCACCGCACTTATGTTAGGCATTTTTTTAGCCTGTACTTCTGTTTTTAGTTTGTATTTAAATCTGTCTGTTTTGTTTACCAACTGGCTTGAGTTTTCTCCCCGTTTAGGGTCAGTGACCATATTACTCATCAGTCTGACATCTGCCTTAAAGTTTGCAGTTGTTGTCAATACTGACAGGTGGCGTGCATGTACCACACTGTGACCCCACCACCAGCAAACTCTGAGAGAGAGGACTTCACTACATCTTCCTCATACTATAAAAGAAAAACAACCAAGTGTCTATAGACAACAATTCTCCGTGAAGTTTTATATTTTGCAGATTGAGAACAGTATATTGTAAATATTGACTGAGCACGTAACAACTGGTAACAAGGTATCGTAAAAATGGCTAAATCCCTGGTCAAATTGTTTACATCCTTCAGTCTCGTGCCATGGGTCAGTTCCTGGTCAAATACATACATGTATTGAGATCCAGCCTGACTAAATGAATCGCATTCTACTGACCAACTGACCACAATACTCCTGCAGGGGGTGAACCTTTGCGGAGTAAGAAAGCTCAATACTAATTACTGGTAGAAACAACACTTACATATTGAGCACATAGCTAATACATATGTCGCTAACATTGTTCCTTTTCCATTGTTCCTACCATTGAATTCTGGAGTACTGCTTCTCACCGCTATACATGTACATGTATGTAGCCAATGTAGGCTTCACGTTGCAAAAACATCTGATTCAGTACATATAGTGGCAAGAATTAAGCAGCTACTCCAGTCAGAAGCTCTGAGGAAGGTATCTAATAGATAAACATAAGCAGGTGAGACACATTACTGGTTGTGTGAATAGAAAACCCTTATATCCTATGCTTCACCAAGGCCACACCAACTTAACTTTATGGATGATATCCGCGCGCGCATTGATTTTTGCCTGTCCTAAAAAAAATAATCACGTCCACTTGAGGCACTGGCCTGGCTCTAGACCTGGGCAGTCCATGGCCGTTAGCAACAATACGGAGCCGGGCTCCGAAGCTCCACAACTCAAGAACTCAGTACATACCGTACACACAGTGCCGATTCATAAATGCCGCAAAAAGCTGGCATGTGCTGGCTTTTCATATACGTCCTTTGTACTGATGCAAATTCACAATACCAGCTTTGTATTCCTGTGGTTTAGTAGCATTTTTATTTTTTGCTGGAATTTTTCTTCTTCGCCCACGCGCACTAGTTTGGGGGTCTTCAGAGGATGTCATCCATAAAAGGCTAAAATGATGTGCTGATGTTTTCCAGGTGCTGATGGATATGGGTGTGTTCAAGCTGTCTGCACAGCAGGCTGAGAAGGTGCTGAACCTCCGCGCTAACTGGGCAACAGGGAAGAAGGGCAGGACATGAAACAGACATCAGAGGATCGTAGGGGATAATTAGTCTCTACCAGACTCCTTTGCAGGCTGAATAAATAGTAGAAATCGGCAGAGGGGGGAGTCATTGGCCAGAGGAGTTGGCC